GTTTCCTTCCGGTGACTTTGAGACCTGTTTCCCCTATCTTTATGCTCCAACAGCTTATCAGGGGAAGCGTTTCTTTTTGTTGGACTTCTTGGTTTGGATGGGCAGTCCCTTGCCAAATGGGTGAGACATGAGCATTCTACACAGAGACTTCCCAATCCCTCGTAGACCAGGGTTATCAGAGCTTCTTCTCCAGAGTCAAACTCAAGAATAGATTCTCGAGTGATAGGTTTTAGCCCATCTAGAGAGACGCGAAGGCGTACCTCAGTATCAGAGATGACGTAGTCCTCCAGAGTTCCTAGGCCCTGTCCCAAATCATAAATGGTTTTTTGATGCCAAAAGTGGAGGGGAAGGCCTTTGAGGGAGATCCAGAACGGAATCTGCGACGGGAAGGAATCAGAAATGATGGGTTCCCACTGCTGTAAAATAACCATCCAGCCGTTGAACTGGTAGGGTCGGTTGTTTAGTACGCTGTGCATGTCATCAACCCTGTCGAATCTGAACTGGAAGCGTCCGTGGCCAAGGTCGGAGCTTGTGACATTTCCTTTCAAGGTCCAGTTTCTCGGAAGGTCCTCCAGGAGGTGTGAGATGCGTTGCTCTTGCGGGTTAGTGACTCGCCCTATGAGGGTCTGTTGGTTCCTTTGGATGAGAGCTGAGTTGTCGAAGCTTGACACTCTGACCCTTATACGTTGCGCCCCTAGGTCTTCAGTAATTTGTCCTTTGCCTTTTTCAGCCGCAGAAAGTCTTCTTTGAGTCATAGCTAAGAGAAGGTTGACGTCTTTCAGAGATTTGGAAGAGCAGGATGTCGTTGTGGAGAGTTAGAAGTGTGTATGCAGCCTTGTATCCTTGAAGATTTGAAGGTGGTAGAGGAGTAACCGTCGACTCTACGTGGCTCCGGACAGTCTTCAAGGTAATGGAGTCAGCACGCCGCTACTTCCCAGTGGTTGTGCGGTGTAGCTGGAGCAGATAAGCTTAACGTGGAGAGAGATCTTGGCCGGAAACGCCATCGATCCGGCGTTAGGAGTTTGAAAAAACTCCGGGTAAAGACCAGTGTAGTCCTTGGTACACAGAATAATGCTCGAAAAGGAAAGAGAGGTTCAAAAAGTTGGTGTAAAAACAGAGAACATACCCAAAAAGGGAAGGTCAACTTTCATTACAGCCCAGTAACCTGAGGGTAAGGACCTCTCTCGAGAAAAGTGCCTGGGAGAGAAAAAGTTCTTTTGTTTCTTCTCGGTTAATGCATCACATACAAAAGCAAACGCCCTACAACCTATATCTCTCAATTATCTCGACAAAAGTTTTGGTTGTTTAATGGGATTTATTCATTATTGGACTGCTCTTCTGATATTATGTTTTTTCTGTATCAATTTCCAAGCCTGATAGGAAGATACTTTTTTTACGAGAGACGATAGAAAGAATTAGGGTTAATCGACTTCTTCCATCTGTGAAATCCAAGAGCTTGACCAACAATGGTGATTAACATGTCTAAGTCAGACAGATGATTGTGAATAATCTATCTATATATATAAATATGGTTTTCCTTTACTCTAGGGAAGTTAAGTCATCAAATTCATAAGAGCATGCCACGTGTTTATTTCTCATATGAGTTAGTTTATTTTGTTTAGTTGTTTAATGGGATTTATATGTTAATGGACTGCTCTTCTGATATTATTTTTTTTATGTGTCAATTTTTAAATCCGATAGTAAGATACCTTTTTCACAAGAGACAATATTGACTTCTTCCATCTGTGAAATTCAAGAGCTTAACCAACAATGGTGATTAACATGTCTAAGTCAGACAAATCATTGTGAAAAATTTATAACAAGCATGCAACGAGTTTCTTTCCGTATGAGTTTAGTTTATTTTGTTTGGTTGTCTAATGGATTTAATTCGTTAATGAGTTGCTCTTCTGATATTATGTTTTTGATGTGTCAATTTCCAAATAGGATAGAAAAATATATTTTCACGAGAGTCGATAGAAAGAGTTAGGGTCAATCGGCTTTTTCTATCTGTGAATCCAAGAGCTTGACCAAAAATGGTGATTAACATCAAAACATAAGTTACATATGTTAGAATATTTAATAAGATATCTACATATATTCTAACAGATGTGTGTTTCTTATGTTGTTAACAACATGTAACTAATAGTGTGATTTTTTTTTTCTTTTTACTACTTAGTGGCCAAATCCAGGGTTTCCAAAGATCTTTTTGTATCTAAAGAAAGTCGATGCATTGTAATATCTGAAGAGCTCAATTTCTAACATTTCGAGTGATTATCACTCAATTTCTTTATAATTGTAACTTATATGTAATTTGGGTTCGGGTCCACTTTTTTCAATCTTCATTTTCTATGTTAAACATTACTAGACCAATACACAAAAATTTAACGGTATACATTTTTTCTTATAATAAATCTCATCTTATTTGCTACAAAGAGATACAACATCCCTAAAGATAGAATCACCCAAGGCCTAAAAAAAGGTTTCATGTAATTTTGAAGTGAATAGTAAAAACAATAACATAATGCAACTTACTCGAGCATGTCTAAACATGGATAAATTTTTGTTTGATCCTTTGTAAATGTTTACATCTTTTGTAAAAAATTATGAATGTTAATACTATTTTGAGTTAGAGTAAATTTAAAATTTAAAATAAATATGTACTATTAATTTATTTATTTATCCGTCTATAGGGTAGATTTATCCTAGTTACTATCAGTTATTTTACATTAAATTTATAGAAACTATACGACTGATTATCAAACTATCTGAAGTTAACTATTGTATTTTTAATGTCTCTAGTTATTATTAAAAATTTATAACATTATATACATAATATATATTTTTGCTCAATACATAATATATATATATATATATATTTTCATAGAATATTTACACAAATTGGCAATCAACCACGTAGTAGACCACTAAGTCATCTTTTAATGAGCCGTTTCTAATATTTTCAGCCCAATGTTTATGTTCAAATCACGTCCTGCAGTCCGGCTCCATTTGTTAAATGGTAACCAAGCGAAATTAGATTACCCAAAAATGTAAACCGGATTGAACCGAGATGTACACATTGTAAGGTCGGTTTCTGGTTAAACATGTAGAGTGTTGTTTAAAAAGGCGTTGTTGTTTGCTCAAATTAGGGTTTACATCTTTCAAACAGGCATTTTGTCGGCTGATTCTGTTATCACTCGAAGCTAACGAAGATGGTTAGTTATCGATCTTCACAATCTCTTTGGTTTTGATATTCTCTCTGGTTTAGTCGTGTTTGAAAGTAGTTAGTTAGGTTACTGACAGTAGATATTGAACTTTTTTTCATGAGAAAAAACAGTAACTTTGAATGATTGTCTCAGGTTCTTCAAAACGATATTGATCTGCTGAACCCACTAGCTGAGCTTGAGAAGAGGAAGTACAAGATCAAGCGTCTTTTTCAGTCTCCCAATTTTTTTTTTCATGGTAATTTAACTCTTTTTATATGGTCTGATGTTTACAATTGCTGTGAATGGAGCTCTGAGTGTTGTTCACGGAGCACAAGCTCAAGCGTCTTTTTCAAACACTACATTTTTTGTTGGTGCTGATTAGATTATTTTTATATGTGATTGGGTTGATTGTAGGATGTCAAGTGCCAAGGCTTCTTTAACATGTAAATTTTTTTTAACCTTGGTATATTTATATGTTTTTACTTTGTAATTTATGATTTGGTTGGGTTTATTGCAGAACAACGATGTTCAGCAACTCGCAGACGGTTGTGGTGTGTGGAAACTGCCAGACTGTGTTATGCCAACCCACAGGAGGAAAGGCTAGGCTCACTGAAGGCTGTTCTTTTTCATGAAAAAGTGAAACAAGATGGCTCCACCCACACGTCTTTTTCTTTTAGTTTCTTCTTCTTTCGTTATTTCTTTTTATGATCTTTGAGCTAATAAACCTAGATGTTAAAATGACTTGAGTTTCAAAGTATGGATTTGGAGATAAGTAAAAGTTTCTCATCAGTGAGCTTATATTCTTCAAGACTCCCCCTCCAATAGAAAACTTCTATTATTCTATTTTTAGCCAACTTAATATATGTCTTGTTTGTAATCTAGAAATGTATATAAATGAAGGAATCTTAGAACCTTGATGGTAAGAATTTGGAAAAGCAAAGATTACCAAAACAGGGGACTCTGTTTCTCGAGCCGCTTCCGCTTGTAAATTGAAAAACATATCCTCCTGTCCCTGGAGTAAGACATAATCTTGCAGAAGGAGGAATAGTTGAAGTGATGATCAACATCCTTAATTGCAGGAATGCTAATGGGATCTAAAGAATAGGCAGCTGAATGTCTTTAGATCTCATTTTCATATGAGGGTGACTTCTTGATGTCCATGCTATTCAATCTAGACTTTTCTCAAGATAATCCCAAGTTCACTCCATGTTCTTCAATTAGGATCAATGGGAGCTCAAACAAGCGGCTGCATCAACTTGTCTGAAGATGCTGTTCGAAACGGAGGTTCCTGGTTCGAATGGAGCTGTTAGTTATCTGAAGAAGTTGTCGGAAATGGAGGTTCCTGGTTCGAAGAAGCTTCTCAAAAGATTGAGAAAGGGAAATTGAAAAGTTTATTTAGTAGGAAGTAGAAGATATAATGTGGTACATGTATTGTATATGCTGTTATGTTTTATAATCAATATGAAACTTATAGTATTGGTAAGAAGAATAATGATGGTATTATTAGATCACAAAACAATTAAGAATCACAACATGGAAGTTTTACTACAATCTCATCCCTATATATCTCAACAACAAACAAATACAAAAAACCTTTTGAAAAAAAGATCAAACACCAAACCTCGGTCTTATGAAAAATGATAAGAGAAGAATGAGAAAAAATGATATGAGAAGAATGAGGTTTGGAGATAAGAATCAAGTGGTAGAGATTCTGATACCACTAAGAACATAGCCTCCAAAAGAGCTCATCTGCATGCGAGGGTGAGTTCTTGATGGAAGCACCTGATATTCTCTTAGCTATGGTTCTGTTATTTGCAGATTGATTGCCATCTTCCCTTGCTGAAGGTTGTGCATACATTTAGCCAGAGGCTGTGAATGTTCATCAATCATTATCATGAGATTTTGTTGTTTATGCAAAAATTACTATAACCAAATACTGAAAAGCTTTCTTGTTATGACACATACCTGTAAATACTGATGATATATTGCAAAGGGAGCACTGTAGGAGAGTAGTGGCAATACATCTTTAGCTAAGGTCCATGGGTCTTGGTATTGTGCTGCCATGATTAGGCTGCAAACTCACACGGCACAAGTGTCTGTTAATAAACCTAAACCATTTCCATTCACTGAGAGAAACATATATACGTTACTTACCTAGAGAATCCGTTTTCTTTCCACATTTCTATTTTTCTTTCGTTGCCTTGGCTCCAGCTTTTGGGGTTTTGATAGTTTTTCCCTCAGGTACAACATCATCTACTACTCTTGCCTCAGCTGTTACAGGTGTGTCTTCTACAATATCAGATGTAGATGGGTATAAACTCCTTCTAGTTGCTTGTTTTCTTTAGGGGATGCAGTTTTGGCTGATAAGAGCTCATTTATAGATGACTGCATGATCCTACACACATTAAGCAATGTCAATTACAGATAGCATTTAATTAGAAACTACAAAGAGAGAAAACGAGAAAAGACTTCAAGGAAACAAATGTAACATACCTTTCTATAACCTTGTCAGTAAAGTTGAAAATCCTAACCATCTCTACAGAGGGAGGAGTGTTTCCTTTATATGTATTGCAAACATAACCAGTGCCTCCTAATCATTCAGCCACTGCACCAGTGACAAGGCCACCAACCATATCCACCACAAGCACATCCGAGTATGCGGTGACATTAGCCATTGTTAACAAAAGAGACAATGCATCCACTCTTAAGAATCTACAGAAATAAAGAAAAGCAATCAAAACCAAACAGGGGAAAAAGGACACAGGATCTTTCTAATGCGATGAAAGAAGGAAACAAAGTTAGAATTACCCGATTCTGACTGGATATTTCTTGAAATAAGCTTCACAAATACTGGCAAAAAGACATAAACGGATCCGAGAATAAGAGAAACGAAAGAAGTCATAAAACAAAGGCAGACATCAAAAATAGAAATAAACCTTCAAGAAAAAGGGCGTCTTAGAAGCAGCTTTGGAGCATATTTATTTTGCTTCTTAAGCTTATATTTTTCCTATACAAGTAAAAAAGAAAAAAAACAAGAAAATCAACTACAGAGTAGAAGCAGAGAAAGAAGTAAAACTGTAAAGACATACAATACGTGAGACAACTGAAACTTCAGGTCAAATGTTTTGCTGGTTGCAGTCAGTGCTTCAATAATCTCATCTCCATTTGCACCCTCTCTTCACATTCAAACAAAAAAGTTAGCACATTTCTTCCAATTTATGTTTATATAAACACACAGAGAGAAGTTCTTGTTCTAAACCTCCGCATAGCTTCAATCTCTTCACCAATGAGGTTTTGAGCTTCACTATTGTCAATAAGTTCCCTATTATCTCTCGCATCATCGATAACATTATTGCTGCTACTTTCTGAATTTTACAAACATCAATTACACTCAAATTCAAATCAAGCTTATAACTAAACAATATAATATACAAAAGAATAGATTATTTCATGTGATTTTGAGGAGAAAGACACAAAACCTTTCTTGATGGGTAGAAGGCGAGAGAGGAAAGAACCATATTCTCCGGTTTCGACTTGGAACAGAGATCCAAAGGGAGCTCCAATCAATGGCTTTAACGAGTAATTCTTATTCTCTAATTTTAACACACTGTCCAAAATAGAGAAAGACATAAATAAATAAATAATTTTTTTACGTTCAGAGACACTTTCCCTTTCTCCTATTACACTCAAACCCACATTATGCTGGAGGCACACATTATCATATTAAAAAGACTTTAGTACCCTTTAACAAAACAAAGGTCATCTTCCTTTTCTCTTTGAAAACTCAGACGCCATAAAGAAAACCCTAGAGTCTATGAAAAATCCACAATTTCAGCTCACTCAATTGAACAACATTCCTTCGATTCCATTGAACAACAAATCCACAATTTATCTATACTCTAATCCAACATGCATCCATATTTTCATAATCTCATGTGCTACTCTTTCTTTTTCTCTATTTTAATTTCAAATCTCAGATCCCCAGAAATATTTAGATATTTGATTATGGTGATATTTGTTTGATTTTATTTTTGAATTCAAGACTGGCGTTTGTCGTCAAGAAGACATGCCTCAAGCGAACTTAAATCGTCTCGATGAAGCAGTCCGGTCGCCGCTTGAATCGAGTCAAACACCATTTTCATTTCTTCAAAGGTTGGGATTTTGATTCAAAAAGTCAAATTTCATAGATTTGATTCGACTTCCAAAATTCTCCACATTCTTCCATTTGATTTCCGAAACTATCACTTTTCTTAGTTTTGATTCGTCTTTCAAAATCCTAACCATTCATCAATTTTATTCTGGTGATATTTGTTTGGTTTTATTTTTGAATTCAAGACTGACCATTTTTTATATTTCCATCTCATGATACAGACAAAGCTGATTTGATGTTGTGATGCAACAAGTGTAGAGATGATTCCGGCGACTCAAGATGCTGTGATGCGACGAGAGTGTCTTGAGAGTGAAGCCGAGAGATAGTGGAGATGATGAATTGAGGACAAACGAGATGGATGTGGATTCCAACTGGGTTGGGTGGTGGTGATGGAATAACAAGTCGGTCGATGGGGAGGATATGTTGTGTCTTCTGGAGAGATGGAGTGACGTTGAGTATGGTCGAGAGCGATGGGAAGTATAGGTGGTGGTCAGGATCGTTGGTTTGAGAGAGATTACCATTGGTAAGAACTTGAAAGCTCTGATCTTTATGGTGATTTGACATCACATGACCATACATCACCTGTCCACACATCACCTATCCATGTGTAAGAAACCTTGTCCACAATACATCTTGTAAGCTTAATAAGAAGAAAGTTTTAGTTTTTGATATGGGTTTTAGTTTTTTTCTAAGAAACCTTATCCACAACTTTTAGTTTTATGTTCATGTGTTCTTGTCTATGTCCACAATTTTTGTATTTTAATGTCAAGATGTACACACGTTGGATTGACGTTTTTTTATGATCATGTGGCCCTTATTATAGCACATAAAACAGAGATCGGTTGAAAAGCTTGATAAGCTCAATCGTGTGACATGTTAGCTTTATCGCTAGAGTAAGATTGGTTCAAAAGCTCGATAAGTGCTATAGTTTCTCTACTGATGGACTCTTGAGCATCGTAAACACTACTGCATCGCCGTGGTCTAACTCCTCCTTGATCACCGGTGAGATAACCATATATTCCGAGCTCAACATCTTCGTGGATGGTCCTTAGCAACCACATCCACACCTCGCTTTTTGTTAATAACCACATCTACATGCACTCACTATCCATAACAGAACCATCAACTCCTCGCAAACCCAGACAATTATATCCACACTTGCTCTGTCCGGAATTATTTGGATTCACGGTGGGAAAAAGAAAAAGAGGAAGATGAGAAGAGTGAGAGACTGACACGACGAGGAGAAAAGTTAAAGTGAGGAAGCCGTTAGGTGAAGAAGATAGTAAGGGTATTTTGGTCAAAAAATCTTGTGTTCACACACATAAAGTGTGTCACATGTGAGATGTGTCTTATTGTGTAAACAAAAGTCAAAATATGTTCTTTTGTGTAATGCACTCTAAATAAAACTGAACTCAATCAAATATAATTTATTCAATGTGAAGAAGACTCATGCGCCACCAGATAGGCGAGCGAAGATGAGACGGTCACCATCGTTGACGTTGAGCAAAACGCTGCAACCTTCTTTAGCAAATCTCGGATTTGGATCTTGAGCCTTATTGTTATCTTTCTCTGACATAACTGCCTGATCCTTATTGTAATCCATTGGAAAAGTAAAAAAGAAACTGGAGTTTCTGTTTTCAGCTTAATTCAGTTAAAGAGACAAGTGAACAGGGACTAGTGTGTTAAACCCTAACGACAATATTTTGTCGGTTAAAAAAAACGTTCTGAATATCATGTGGCATCATTAATATTATTATCTTATTTTGTTTTGTTTTAAATTTTTATTTTTTTATAAATATAATTAAAAAATAATAAATAATATGTAAATATATAACATTCTAAACAGAAATACTACATCAAACATATGTAAGATTATCATGATATATAACTTCAAAAATAATAAAAATATGTAAATATGAAACATTAGAAATAAAAATACAACATTAAACATATGTAAGATCACTATTTTACATTTTTAAAAAATAATCCAAAAATATTGATGATATTGTGAACGTTATTAATAGGTCATTATTCATAATAACAATATTCTTTATGACGTAAATAAATAGTTGATTTTTAATGTTGTTAATATCATCAACAAAATCCTAAATTCTAAATCCAAAACACTAAACCCTAAATACTAAATCTTAAACCCTAATTACTAAAAGATAATCCAGAAAGTTTACAGTAATGTAGCAATGAAGCTTTGACCTCAAAGTATCAAGGCCTTAGATAACCAAAGGTGATTTTATCATTACTTTTGTTGATCTAGGCGTCATGTACCTGGAAAATGAGTAGAATATGTATCATTTTTCCTTCTTTCTCCTTCTTTACCACAAAGAGTAAACTGGATATCGTTTTTGATATCTATTTTAAGTAATATTATATATCAAAAATATGAATGAAATAGCTTTCTCAACTGTAAGTTAAGTGTGATTCAAAATTGCCAACAGTTGGTATAAGAAAGTTACGAAGAATATGAATACAATAAATAAAAATGTATATAAAGTTTAATGAACTAATAATGGGCTTCAATTGATATAACATGATAAATTTATAACATTTGATAATTCTCTAACTGTTAATACCTAGTTACTCTAAGCTCTATAAATAATCATAAACACTAAATCCTAAACCAGGGTTAACCCTAAACCCAAGGGTTAACTCTAAACACTAATTCTATACCCATATTTTAGACTCTAAATTCTAAATCCAAACCTTATACACTAAACCCAAGCCCTATATCCTTAACTCAAACGGTAAACCCTTAACACAAACAGGTTTTACATTATGTGTTAAAATTTTTAAATATTATTTCAATTGTATTAATAACAAAAATTGTTTTTAATATCCATTTTAAAGTAAATTATCTATTGGAAGAAAAATAGCTTTGTCAATTGTAAATTAAGTGAGACTCAAACTTGTATTCAACATTTGGTCTAACACAACTATGAGCTATATCAATAGGATATCAATACAATAAATAATAACTATATAATTTTTTTTTATTGAATTAATAACAGACTTCAGTTGAAATTATATAAATTGAGTTGAGTAGTTAAAGAAAAAAAGGTCAAAAAGTATAAACCAAAGAAAAAGAAACTTGGTACTCACCCCTACAGGTATAGGCGGTATTCCATGAGTAGAAGAGACTTAAGGGAAGAGATGAATCAGAGGAATGACTTTGTTGTTGATACAGCATGAAGTGCAAGCTCGGTAATTACATGAATAGACCAAATAAGTGTAGTAGATCGTTATGGAAACATCCTTTTGGCAGGCCATGCAAGTCAGTTGAAGGAGACCACCACTGGATATCTAAGAGTGGTGAAGCTTGTTTGAAGTGTGAAGATAGTGAATTATCATCATAGAAGAATACTTGGCGCGTCGAAGAGTGTCGAAGCTTTAGTCATATTTTAATTGTGTATTTGCTTACTATTATTACTTTTGTATATTATATATTTATGTAATATCTAAATTTTACATTTTCAGGTAGATGTTTAATGATTTATTCACTTTTCCATTTTTCAGTTGTGTATTTTCATATTAATATTATTTTCGTATATTCTATATTTACTTAATAATGTCTATATTTTTCATTAAAGATAGATGTTTAACGCTTAATTTACTTTTTCCATATTTTAAATTGTTTATTTTCTATTATTATATATATATAACTCCTATGTTATATATTAAAATTTAAAACTATACATTATATCAATATTTCGAAAATGTAAAACTAAACATAATAAGGTCATAATATTATCAATATTTTTGGATTATTTTTTAAAAATGTAAAATGGTGATCTTGCATATGTTTAATATAGTATTTCCATTTCTATTGTTTTATATTAAATTTTTTTTTTTTTTAGAAATTATCTATATCATGGTAAACTTACATATGTTTAATACAATATTTTCATTTTTAATGTTTTATTTTTACATATTTGTTTTTATTTTCGAAATTATATTTGTCAGTAATGATAAAATGTAAAACTATATATTATATCAATATCTCGAAAATGTAAAACTAAACAAAATATGATAATAATATTAATGATGACACATGGCATGTTTGAGAAGTGGGTTTTTACGCTAATGTGGACGCTCCCTAGAGCCTCAAAAATCTCCTTTTATTAGTATAGATTTCTATTTCTTATTCTTTATTTTACTTCATAACTATATTTTAAATTTTAAGATAGTGTTTAATGTTTAATGTACCTTTTTCATTTTTTAAATTGTGTATTAATTTAGTATATTATATATGTACTTAATATCTATATTTACATATTTAAATGTATATTTATTTTTAATGTAATATTTCCATTTTTAAATTATATATTTACTTACTATTTCTTTTTATTATACTATGTATTTCCATTTCTTATACTTTATTTTACTTAATATCTATATTTTACATTTTAAGATAAATGTTTAATGATTAAAGTACTTTTTTAATTTTTACTATCCAGTGGCCATAGGTTTGCATGCATATGCATGTAACAAAGCTTGCACTATCTCAAAAGCCTACAAATTGAGTTGAGTAGTTAAAAAATGGTCAAAAAGTATAAGCCAAACAAAAAGAAAGCTGGTACTCAACCCTACAGGTATAGGTGGTATTCCATAAGTAAAACTAGACCATGACCCGCCCGACCGGGCGGGTGTTTTGTTTTCTTTTAATTTTTAGGTTAATACTAAATGATGTAAAATAAAAAAATGAAGTATCAATTAAGTGGTTACAAATTATTTATGGGTTTAATTTTGACAGAAGAATACCGAAAAGTTTGTTGTTTGATCCGCGCAAGTGTTTATTTTTATATATTTTATAAGTGATAATATATATTTCTTTACCCGTTTAAATAATTATTTAAAATGACATTTTAAACACACAATTTTATAGTTTATATTGAGTAATTTTATTTTATCTTATAAACTATCATTGTCATACTTATTTTAAAAATATGACTCGTATATCTGCACAAATGTTTTTATTTTATTTTTATGGATCAAAATTTTATGATAAAGTATAACTAAATTGTTTTATTTACTATTTAAAATATATGGTCCTATATATTTCTACTTTTTAACTTTTATTATTCTGAATTTACCTTGAACTATTATTTATATAAAAATATACATAACATGATATGTTTATATTAATCTTTTTATTATATATTATATAAATGTTTCTTTTTGTGATTTTTATTTTAGTTATTACTTATAAATAATAAAAATATAATTATATATCTTTGAAAAAAATATTGTTCATTAACTATTTAAAGATATGTAGATAATTAATAAGAAAAAATCCTAAAAGGTAGGTTAATTAATATTGGAATTAATTATTATGTATATGGAATTAGTAAAAAAATTTCTATATAATTTATTTATTTAATTACGAAAGGTATATATAAAAATAATCATTTTTATTAGTTGTTGTTGCCATAATTTTTTTCAGTTAAAATTTGATTTTGGAAATGCATTAATTAAAGTGAAAAGACAAAGAATCCTATAAGGTAGGGTAATTAATAACTTCAGTGGCATAACATTGTAAATAATTAGAAAAACTCAGGGGTATTTTATATGGGTACTTCTCTTTTAATAATATAGATGGACTACAAGGAAGATATGAATCAGAGGAATGACTTTGTTGTTGTTATAGCATGAAGTTCAAGCTCGGTAATTATATGAACAGACCAAACAAGTGTAATAGATCGTTCTGGAAACATCCTTTGGGCAGGCCATGCAAGTCACTTGAAGGAGACCACCACTGGATATCTGAGAGTGGTGAAGCTTGTTTGAAGTTTGAAGATGGTGAAGTATCATCATAGAAGAATACTTGGCGCGTCGAAGAGTGTCGAAGCTGTAGTTATAATTTAATTGTGTATTTGCTTATTATTATTACTTTTGTATATTATATATATATACTTAATATCTATATTTTATATTTTAAAATAGATGTTTAATGATTAATGATTAGTGGATTTTTCCATTTTTCAATTGTGTAGAGAATGATCAAATTTATAACTTTATTATGTTATATCCATTGAAGCCCATTATTAGTTCATTAAACTTTATATACATTTTTTATTTATTGTATTCATATTCTTCGTAACTTTCTTATACCAACTGTTGGCAATTTTGTATCACACTTAACTTACAGTTGAGAAAGCTATTTCATTCATATTTTTCTGATGTACAATATTACTTAAAAAGAGATATCAAAACGATATCTGGTTTAGTCTTTGTGGTAAAGAAGGAGAAAGAAGGAGAAAGAAGGAAAAATGATACATATTCTACTCATTTGCCAGGGACATGACGCTTAGATCACAAAAGTAATGATAAAGCCACCTTTGGTTTCCTAAGGCCTTGATACTTGAAGGTCAAAGCTTCATTGCTACATTACTGTAAACTTTCTGGATTATCTTTTAGTAATTAGGGTTTAAGATTTAGTATTTAGGGTTTAGTGTTTTAGGTTTAGAGTTTAGGATTCCGTTGACGATATTAACAAAGTTAAAAATAAACTATATCTTACGCCATAAAGAATATAGTTATTATGAATAGTGACCTATTAATAACGTTCACGATATC